AAAAACACTTCATTACAGTCCATGGGAGAGTTACCCTATTATCTATGATGGATGCTGGATCAGGTCCTTTGTGTGTAAAGAGGGAAAAAAAAACATTAGTCAGCATAGGAAGACCATTTAAGTAAAAAACATCTGCTCTTGTTAATTTAAGAAAACTAAAGGAAGAAAACTAAAGATTAAACATCACTGTGAGGGAACAAGAAGCCCAGCTGGATTGGGAATGGACATGGCCATTGACCAGCATTAGAGACAAGTCCTGGGGAAGCACTTGGTGTCTGCAGCAACATCCAAAACCCCTCTGCTGCTCACTCAGGCCCCAGCAAACAACCTTTACAAGTATTGGCACAAACAATTTGACAGTGAAATACACCTCTCTCTAACTGCAATTTACTGCTATTTTCGAAAGCTTTTTACTACCACTCAGTGTGGAGGGAAACACCTTTCAGAAGGCTGCTCACAAGGAGTGACTCAGTACATGACCGTGACAGTGGGAAATGCCACACCATCAATGAGGTTCATTGCTGCTGTGTTACCTAACACTTTAAATGTGGAGGGCAAAGGGCACAAAAATGCCTGTCTTTTTTTTTTTTTCTCAAATAGCCCAATTCAGTGCTGTGAGGTTTCAACAGTGTGTAAAAGGCCCCTGATTTTTCCAGTGCAGCTGGGAGGGCTGGCCAGGGCGAGCAGCAGTGCATGGCAGGGACACAGGAAAGCTGTGCATATGAGCCTCCCTTTTGAATTCCCCAAATCTGCTTTTCAGTCCTCTGTTCACTTGGGCTGCCTCTCCTAGGCTGGCTGCTGGGGCTATTTCTGTGGGTGAGCAGGTTTTGTCAGCTCAACTGGCAGAGCATCATAGCAGTAAACGTGTGCCTCCCACATCTTTTCCTATCAAGCAACAGAATTAGCATTTTTTCCAAAGTTAATCAAAAATATACCCACACAACTGCCCATGGGCTCTTGCTGACTGCTCCCCCAGCTTTCCATGGCAGTCAGGAGCAAGAGCAGATTTCTGTGCAGCGTTGGTGTAGTTTTTCTTCCTTTCCCCACACCTGGCTGAACTACTTGCGTCTTCCTTACAAGAAACATGCCACTTCTGTCTTATCCTCTTCAACAGTAGAGAGCAATTCCTCTTGGCAAAAACATCCAGTATGTTCAAAACTTGCAATTTAGGGTAGCTAGGCACAATCTAAATAGTCTGAGAAATAAGCTGTATTTATTTAGACTCCACTACCAGAGAGTGCTTAGTTTATGGCAGAGATGGAAGCAGAGAGGATCCTGGTGGTAGCTTTAACAGAGGCAAGCTGCACAGAAACAGGTCATGTCCCTGCCACAGCCGGGCAAGCCCATTACTGCTAGGATGTGGTAGTAAATAACTGCAGTAATGTAACTGTCATAAATTGTGGCAAAACACATCATAGCGGTAAAATAACTGTCATAAATTGAACCAGTGGAGCTTAGATGAAGGTGGAAGCACCGCAGCATGGGGAGTGGCTGGTGAAGACCTGGGGGCTGAATCACCCTGGGCTGCATCTGCCAGGTCCAAAGACTTCCTGGAGCACCAGGCAGGAAACCACCTGCACTCACCTTAGTGCTGACTTCTGCCTAAATCCTCTCCTGCCCCCTGAGCAAGGTGTCCTAGGACACCTAACAGAAGGTGCTGCAGATCAGGAGAGACGCCTCCTGTTGACTATGCATTGGCTCTGTGACTCCTTTCTTACCAAAGCTAAAAGGAACGTCAAGCTGCAATGGATAAATTCTCAGAAGAAATTTCCAAATATTTACCTGCTCTGGCAGAGAGAAAATTTCAGTGCAAAAATGTTCTCTTTTGGCAAAGGCCAAGTTTTGCAGTCCTCACTCAGAAAATCCTGCTGGGTTTACTGAGAACTTTTCATTGCAGATACAACATTAAGAAGAATTTAAAGATCATTAAGAAATTAAAATTACTTGCAAAGCTTTATGTGCTCTCAATTAGGAATAGCCCTATCTCATCGCTCCTCAAATCCTTTGCAATTTGCTGTGAAATACAGACCAGGAGTTTACTCCACAGAGTCCATGTTACTCTTCATATAGAAGGATCAATCTGCAATTGCGAGTTCGTATTTCCTACTCTGTCCTTTGTACTTGGCACACACAGGTACATTTCCCAGTCTTTGATCCAACCCAGCAATTAAGCGTATTTGCCTATAAGCACGTGCCTAAACTCTCCCCTGTCTGAAAAAATGCTGGCATGGGGTTAAACCCTACCATCATTGCTGGGACACTCTTCATTTTGCTAAGCTGCTTTAATAAACAGGGGTAAAGCCAGTGCTCGTCTATATGCTTTGGATTTAGATTTATCGTGAATCCCAGCTTCCCCCTTTCTTTTCTCCCTTTCTTTTGTAACACAGACAAAACCCTTCTCTATACCATGGGAAAGGAAGTTGTTTCTGTCCATGGCACACTCAAAACCAGAGGCAACTCACCTGCACAGAAATGACCCTCCAATGTCCTCTTTGAAGGACTTCACAGCATAGCAGATTCAAGCCCTTAGTTCACATCATCCAACGCATTCTGTGTAATTAAGATATCCATTGCTAACAAATCAGTGAAGAACATCATTCGTGGACTGGAAACAGTGAGCAGTGTGGCAGAGAACAGCTAATTCTTGTACTTTACGTGTTACGCTATTTTGGATACTGTAACTAGAGTTTTCCTTAAATACAGCTCCTCAGGCAGCTGTACTTCCCATAAGCAACTATTCATTTCCTCCCTGCAGTTGACAGAAGCTATGTACTACCACCTGCAAGGTTGATTATGGATCAGTCATGAAGTTGCATGCATCGTGACCAGCAGATCATGTAAGTGCAAGGGATTCTGCCCCAGGCATCCATAAAGATCTGGTTTTTTCTGCAAGCCCACACTGAAGTTTCTACATAGCAGATAAGGGGTGAAACATAAAAAGACACTGAGTTTGTGTGCTATGGCTGGTGCACCAAACTATGTCTGCTCAAGCACATTTGCAGTCCCTTTCCAGCCTCGGAGTTTCCAGAAAACAGAAGTAAATGTGCGGAGGGACCAGAAACCTCTTAGCTCATGCAGCTGATGGCTGCCTAGTGCTAGCTTCCATTCCTCTGGGAAGCTGTTGCTCCTTTTGATGGGGAACACAACAGCCTTCCAAGTGCTGGGAAAGGATCTGGGGACTCACAGCATCTGTAAGACACGAGTACTACTACGTGCTCCCTGACTGAGGGCTCCTCTTCACTCCAGGTTTACCTCCAGGGAGCAACCACACAACACATCAGCATCTGAACCACTGTTCTTACTCGGAGTTAGGCACTTTTGGGGACGCATTCCGTGGTCCTTAGTGCTTCAGTGAGCTGAGCTACCTTATGACCTTACTTGTAGGCACTGTGTCATTTCAAGCACTGCAGGGGAGAAGGGAATATCAGAGGGTATGTGCCCTTCAGTGAAAAGGGCGTATGTATGCACTACAGAGATGGCAGGTTAATGGCTAAGGAATTGTGCTACCTGTTATCCTCATATAAGCAGCCACCTTGAATTAAAAGCAGTCACAGGGTAATGATCTGTATCTGGACTCTGTATCTGGATAAGGTTTGGATGACTCAGGTTAACAGTGTAGTAAAAATAAGCAGTCAATATACTTCATTAATAAGATCTCTTTCAACACCCAACTCAGGTTAGAATATAGTCCATAATCTTTCAATCTGAGCTTTGGTGAGAAATGTAGCAACTTACATTCTTCAGCTTTTGCTGAGGTGATTAATATGAATTAACACACCTAGGTGAGGAAACATGCCTGGTCTGAATCACTCGAAACTAGGATGGAAGAAAGCAAAACACATCAACCTAAGTGATCTTTGTTCCGCTAGGATGGAAAGCATCGTATTTTTCTCTCCCTTAAATGCAACTGACTGCAGTGAGCCGTATTTTCTAATGTACTGAAAGCCGCCACAGCTCCTACAGAAGTCAAAGCAGGCTGTGGAGGCTTCAAAACTCTGACAACCCCTGCAGTGCCCAGAATTCAGGTTACACCTGCCCAGCCAGGGCTATACTATAGCATTGTTGGTCCTTCCCAGATTCCTTGTAAGGAACATGCTGAATTCCCAGCTCATCTTTCTTTCTGTGAGTAATTATTTAACAGTATATTGCTGTTTCTACAGGCATTTAAATCTCTGCAGGGAAACAGATCCCCATAAGATCTTACACGGAAGCACTTTGATGATGTGCAGTGGCATCACTTCTGAACAATGTGGGCTGACAAAACAACATATGCTGTCTTTTCCCTAGATACAGGAAGTTTTCGAAGTGGCGCATAGGATCAACTGTGTCTTCTTTCAGTTAAAATCGCAGTGGTACGACTAACTTTCCTATACTCCCTGGAGAAAATCAACCCATGAATTCTGCCAATATTGCCAGGCACCAGACTTCAACAAGGACCCAGCCATCTGGAGAACTTCAACCAGTAAGAAGGTGAGGGCCAGAGGACAAGCCTGCTTCCTTGTCGTGAATGAAGCAGAAAGTAATGTAGCGATGGGAAAGGGAGTGGCCAGACTTGCCCTACCAAAAGCAGTTGCACAGTGAATCCCTGCATGAAGACAAGCACAGTCAACAATGAACAAGATCTGTAAACAAAATACTCCCTAGTGGTATTCAATGCAGAGTGCTGGGCACAGTTCATCTGCCTGTGCTGACCCATGCTTGCCATGCAATGTGAAGAGTGAAAAAGCAGCACAGAACAAATCCAGAGTACATGAGTTAACTTCCACCTGGGTCTTTAGTGATGTGCACCTTAAGCCATTCCCTCCTCCTGTCCTTCTCCCTGCTGCTCAGCAAGTGTAACCGCTCCTCAGGGCAGCAACGCTCGGCATGGAGTTCAAAGTCCTTCCTGCTGAATGGGAAGAGTAAGATCGATGTGGGCTGAACTGCCCAGGAGACAGATTGTACCTGGGGATCAAGGGCCACAGAACTGTGTCAATCTTCCACTCCCTTGCCACTCCCTGCTAAAAATAGTCTCTTCGTCTGGTTTCGTCACTAATGAAGGAGGGATTGTATTGTCCAGGGTAGATGCATGAGTGACGAGATCCAGGCAAACCAGTGTAGGGAGGATAAAGTCCATTTCTTTCCAGTTCAGGATTTCTCAGTCCAGTTGGCTGCATCAGAAAAAATAAATAAATAAAAAGGGCCTCATTCTCACACTCAAATCCTCCTTCAGGCACAGCCTTACTACCTTTTCCAGCACTTTCTTCAGTAGCTAGAAGGAACAATGTGATCACTAATTATATCTATTACCTAGAATGATTTTTACTGTGGGAGTTATGCATTGCCTGAAGGGATTACTCTGATGCAATCTACTTTCAACATCTTGCAAATTAGCAGACTTGAAGTTTACCTGGCTCCACCAAGAGCAATCTAAATGCACAGTTAATTTTTAATTCAAGAGAACTGTGCTGATGAGCTCAGGCATTGAAACAACTCTCATGAAAAGGATACTGTTCCAGAGCCATCCTGAAAGGAAACACTCCTAACAAATCAAAGTTAGTCTCCTGCTTTGAGTATTACCTGTGAGCACTTCTTTCTCCATTAAGTACCTACCTCTCCCAACATAGGCACTTGAGTTATATGTCAAATACAAAGTGACCTGACCTTCCTTTCTCTTCCCTTCTCTTACTTAAGTAAATCTCCTGGGAACACTTGGTTGAGGAACTTTGATGTCTAAGACCAAGACCATACAATCTGGGCACACATAATCCAGAATCCTTTCAATCAGTAAATAACATCAAGCCACCTGTTTTGATTTGTTACAGCACAGATCCATGTGAAGCCCCCATCACTTGCTCCTTGCTAAAAGGCTCTCTTTTCTAGCCACCAGAATAATAGAAGTCTTTAAAAATGTTTAAGAAATGCATTTTAACTTCCAAATCTCTCATTCTTACTGGAAGCAGGAAGGAGGATTATCTTCCTTCATGCTATATAACCCACTAAACTGGCTTACTGGAAAACCTGAAATACAAGCCAGAAAAAAGGTATTGCTCTCTGCTCTGTAAAGCAGGAGTCCAGAATGTGTGATTTGGGAGAAATCCTGCAACCTTCACTCACATGAGTAACCCACACACACCTGAAGAACATCCAGCATGTTGCTGTAGATGAGTGACAGATGATACACCAGCATCACAGCTCTGGATACAGACATTAGTAGATGGTCCCAATCATGAGAGCAGGTCTTGCACCTGTGTCTTACTCTGCCCTACACAGCCCATTACTTCTCCACCACTTCTTCCCTGACAGTTGTTCCCCCAGAGCTGAAGGGGTGCTCCTCACACAGCCTTCCTGTTGTACCAGAAAGCAGAAAAGTAGAAGGAAAAAGAGGTCCTCAGTGACCAGCACCTTCCCATCTTGGGGTGAAGTCCCCCAGGAAGAGGTCTCAACCTTCCAGCATCATCAATGAGGGCAGAAGGGAGAAAACTACTCACAAGGACCCCTAGCAGTCTGTCCAAAACATTTAACTCTCCTCTGCTCTAGGATCAGGTCTATTGGGCAACTACCAAAATGCTCCTAGACATTTCACTAGTGCTCTTCCTAATGACATCTCTTTGTGACATTCACCACATGTGTAATAGCTGGAGTCCAGCAGACTACCAATGCCTTGCTATCTATAGAAGCCATTTGCTTTGGTCTTTTATTTTGCAGGAATGAGCTCTGTCCTTCCAAAAATAAAGGAATGTATCTTTGCTGTACTGGGCACAAAGGGTTAATAGTTAAGCTATGGATAGATACCGAATAATACACATCTGTCATCTGCAACAGGTTCTTGGTGCTTCCGTTCTCCTGCATCTCGATGGTTTCTCTGCCCCACTCCTGTGCCCGGGGGTTCTTTGGATATTCAGCATATGGTGACATCTGGAAATCCCCACTCTTGAAAATGAGTTTACTTATGTCATTTTTATTCTTCCTGTTTAGAAAAGAATGAAGGAAACTGAAAACATACAACCTATCCTGCTATCTTGTATGCATTTTTGATGTGATCTCCGGAGATTTACTTCGTGTTATGAACCTTGACTGGGAATAAACATCACCTCTGAAGGGCTATAGTCCAATCTTCTGCTCTGAGGGAAGATCAGATATGAGGTCAAATCATGCTAATCAGGGCATTATCTGGTGAGATTTGAAATCTCCAAGGATGGAGATGGCATAACCTCTCTGAGCAACCTGTTCCACTGCCCTTTCACCCTCTTGATTAAAGAGTTTTTTTTTTATTTAGTTTGAACCTCTGCTGTTCCAAACTTATGCTTATGGCCCCTTAGAAATGTGTGCATTCATCTGAGTCAATGAAAAAGTCGTGGAAATCTAGGAAGAAAGGAAAAGGTATGGAGTCCCCATGCTATTCAAGTCTCCAAGTGCTTAACTATAGCACTTGTAGGCACAACATTAATTCCTAAGAAGGAAGGCTTGCCGGGGGCTGGTCTGAATGACACCTTTTTTTACTACTATGTCATATGAGTGGACTTTGGTGATGCTTCCAGTTTAAAGCAGAGTACCCTCCAGGACGTCACATAACCTGCCAAAGGCCAGGACCCACGAGAAGATCAGTCCATTCCTGCAGAGATCTGTACTCTAGGGCCTGGAGATGTAGTGGCCATCACACCTCCTGGCTGGAGCTCACTGACATGCCTCTGGCTCAAAACCTTAACCAGAGAGCTTTGAAATCCTAGATTTGGGGGCTAGAATGAGGGGGGAGGGGGTTACCATAAGGCAGCCCTTTTTCATAGGATCACAGGGGGTTGGAAGGGACCTCTGAAGAGCATCCAGACCAACCCCCCTGCTAGAGCATGATCACCCAGAGAAGATCACGCAGGAACACGTCCAGGCGGGTTTTGAATGTCTCCAGAGAAGGAGACTCCACAACCTCTCCGGACAGCCTGGTCTAGTGCTCTGGTACCCTCACAGTAAAGTTTTTCCTCATGTTTAAGTTGAGCCTCCGGTGTACTAGCAGTTTGTGACCATTTTTCATTATATTTAAATCACTAAGTAGAACATTCTCAGCAGCACATCTTGTCTCTAGTCTGAATCTATCCACTGATACAGGATGTGTGTACATGCCTGTGTGTTCATCTGAGAGGGAGACACACAGAGAGTGAGAGCATGTGCAGGACTTGTTCATAAAGGAAAATGGAAATAGCTATAATACACTCAAACATCACTTAAGCAATGGCCAGCAACCATTCCTGTTGCCTAAACTTCTTTCTACTTAGCTTATATTTCCTAGAGACCGGTCCCTGGCTGTCTTACAGCTCTGAGTGGGAAGGACTTCTTTGCCTCTCCATCCTTAGAGGATATGATTGCTGGGTGCATCCTTAAGAGAAACCAAGTTGAATTGCTTTAGTTTGGGTGCTGGAAAAAAGGAAGATAATGCCTCAGATGAAAGCACAAGAGACTTCAGTATCTCTGATTAACCCACTCACTCAGCTACCCTGTTTTGGTCCCTCAGGGTTCACGTGTGGAGCACTAAGTGTAGTGTAACCTGCTGAGAGGATGCCATGTGAGCCAGGACTGGCAGTAATACCTACCGACAGCAGGTGACAATCAGTGCTATGCCCATGATAAGCAGAAGTCCCCCTCCTGCAGCCGCGATCACCACCGTGATGAGCTGATATGCTACAGATGGAAAAGACAGAGACTCACTTAGAAACAGCCATGCGCTTGTAAATACTAATGTAAACATATCCACAGTCTTCATGCAAAGGGATTAACTCTTTATTTCCCAACTTTCCTCCCTCTGTAAGCAATATTGCCTTAAATTTTCAAGTGAAATGGATGGAGGTGGGGATCTCCTGCTGCAGGAAGAACAAGTTCTTGCTTCCTTAGGGAATGGATTCCCTTCACCGATTGATACAGAATAATTCAAATGATATTTCATGGATTCACCTCCAAATATCACACTTCAAGAGTACCCACTATGTGTGCTATCATGACAGAATTTCCAGAGAAAGGAGCTCTCCTTTCCTTAGGAGAAAACATTAAATCAACTTTGTCAAAGAAGGTCAATAAAATAATTATCAATGGAAAATTAAGCAAAAAACCCACTGACAAGAGTAGCATGTACCTACTGCATTTTAGACAGTCATTTGCAATTACTTGTTTCAAATTTCCCATTTCTGATGCTGTAGAAATAAAAAGAAACGAAGCTCAGTACTTACGGTTTCCACAGTTGAATCCACCTAAGCCAAACGGGCAGCTGGTAATAGAAAACAACAGGGAGTTTCAGCGGCTTAGTTGTGCCGATAGGTCACCAGAGCAACATGAATAAGGATGGTGGGGTAGGAGAAGGGCAGAACAGTCACCATACCTCACACAGGTCTCGTTTTCCAGCTTATATCCGTCTTCACAGGCTGAAAACACGAAAGAGAGAAGGGCCATGAGCACCGCGTAGTGGTGCAGGGGAGGCATTTCCCATCGCTGCTTCCCACCGCAGCCTCACCCTAAACAGCCTTGGGGACCGACAAACCGGTCTGCTGCTGGCACAGCAGGAGGTGATGCGCTCTGATGTGATGCAATATCTCCTCCGGTTTAGGCAAAACATGGCGCACTTAAATTCACCTCCCGCTGGCTTTGACGGGACCATTTTTGGCTTCCCGGCAGACCTAGCTCAAAACCTGGCACTGTGTGGGTAGCTGCTAACGTAATTCCCAGCTGAACCTCTTCTTGCCCAAATGGAAACTCACTGCACACTTGCATTGCTTCCCACAAAACAGCAGTGTAAAATATCTGCAAGTGCCTCCAGTTTCTGATTTGAAACCTCATTTAAACAGTGCTACTTTAGCATTGATTAACATTATTCATTACTTTTAAATGTTAGTACTGAAACAAAATGTTATGCAAACAGTCATGGTTAACCTAAAGTGGTATGTTATGTTTTGGCTCATGTCACCTTTTTTTTCTTTTCTTTCAAATTTGGAACTAAATCAAATTTTGAAATATCATATTTTACTACAGAATAGAAATTAAATATTTACTAGGTCTAAATAACCCAGAAAACTGCTATGTACAAAATGTTGCTAAAAAACTGAAAGCATCACTTTAAAATAAAATAAATTCTGTGCTTATGGACAGATATCACCTGAATTGTCTAAGAAAGTTATACTACTGTTCTGATGAACAGCAAAGATGATGATACTTTGGACATACAATTATAAGCTTTAAATTACTGATAAGGTCACCACTTTTCACAGAGGCCTTGAAGGTGGTTGCTCAAAGACCTGAGCAGGAGTGACACTGATGGAGTCACTTTGGGCAGAGGGACAAGCCAGGGCCAGCACATGCAGCCACCCTTGGGGGTCTGCAAGACATCATCCAGGTTCTGGGAAACCCCTGCAGTGCACTCCTCAGGGAATAAAACTAGATTGTGAAGTGAAAATAAAAATTGCTCATGGATTAGTTTTCCCCTTAAACACCATATGCTTAAAAATGGTGAGGCAGCAGCTCTCAAGCCATCTTCCCTCTGCCTTGCTCTCTAGCTGTAGAGATAACCCACAGCTGAAAGCTCAAGGCGCTCTTTAACTCCAGCAAGTGCAAGGAAACCTGCAGGGACAAGCAGGGGCTTCCAGCAGAGGTCCCAGATAAATCACAGCAAAGCCCTCTCCTCCTCCTCCGCTGCTCCCAGCACCTCAGGTGCTGTTTCCCTTCTGCCACAGCCTATTTTCAGAAACACTTAGCACAGGAGGTGAGGAAAGAAGAAAAGAAGGACAAACATGTAATGTTGTCTATTAGGATGGGCTGGCAATATCACAGTAAACCGAGAGAGAGCAGTAGTATTCTGGCTGGGTTCAGGAGTTTATGGCTCTTCCAGCACCAGTAACAAGTGCCAGCAGGGAGCAATGTGACTGTGACCTCCCCCTCATAATACAGGTCACAGAGCTTCCCTAAATTTAATCCCAGTTTCAAATCAAATAGTTGAACCAGAGCTACATTTTAGAGAATCATCCAAGATTGATTTTAATGTTTTCAGTGACAGTCAATCAACCACAACCCTAGGTCAGATGCTCATAAAGTTAATCTCCCCAGCCACTAAAAACATTCATCTTCTTTCTGGTCTGAATTATCCCAGTGTCAAATTCCAGTCTTTGGACACTTTCTTGCTAGGCTGGGAAAGGTTATATGATCACATTTCTCCTCCTCACCATCAAATCACTCCTTTGCCTTTAATAAAGCCAAGTTCACCAAGATTTTTGAGTCTCCCTGGTTATTGCAGCTTTTCTCTGAATACTCACAGGTTGTCCTTGGACCTTTTAATTTCTGGTTCCCAGAAATAGATGTCAAAAGCCCAGCAATAATAAAACTTCCCCTCTTCTGCCTGCCTGTGCCCCCTAAATGCACCTAGGAACCATATTAGCCTTACAAGCCAGAGCTGGGGACCTCTTCTTTACCCACCAGGCCCTCTTGGCAGCTCTGCCCAAGTCTCTGCTTTCCAGGAGACACAACCCGCAGTGTTCCTGGCACTCTGCTCTTAGCTGCCTGGCTTTGCTTGTTGTTATATTGAAATACTGTTTACCTATGTATAATTTCTAAGCATCTCATGTCACTAAGTATGCCATTTTCCCTGCAGGGTGGGTGTGTGTGTGCAGGTGAGTGATGCACCCACATCATGAATATTGCAGCTCTCAGCACAGACTTGCCACAGCAACTGGCACAGATGATGATGGGGAGTCTGATGTCCACAATAGGTGGTCTTGCACCCCTTTCTCTGCCCTATATAGCCTCCCTACTTCTCCACTACCTCTTTCACCCCATTTATTCCTCCAGAGCTGGGGATGGGGAGGGTGAGGCTCTTTACATACCCCCCACTGCATCTCATCATGATGCTATTTGCACTGGATTTTTTTCTCTCTCTCTAAGACGGTTTCTTTGAAGTCAAGGAAGAGATCAGAGGTAACTGGACAAGAATTAAGAGTTTCAGTCAACCTACAGGCAGGGCAAGAGTAGTAAATCCTAAATGATCCTTGCCTGGCTCATTCATAACACAAAGGCATTAGCAAAATGGGACTCGATGGGTTGCTCCTTTCTCTCGCTAACAAAAGCAGAACGAAAACATTATGGAGTGAACATTTTACCAATGTGAGTCATGGGATCAGGCAGTAACGAAACATACTGCTAAACATTTCCTAAAGAAAGATAGTGGTGTAAAAATTCTGAGATTGTTTAGTCTGGAGAAGAGGAGGCTGAGGGGAGACCTTATCACTCTCTACCTGAAAGGAGGTTGTAGTGAGGTGGGTGTTGGCCTCTTCTCTCACACAACAAGCAATAGGACAAGAGGAAATAGCCTCAAGTTGTGCCAGTGGAGGTTCAGATTTGGAAAAAATTATTTACTGAAAAAGTGGTCAAACGCTGGAGCAGGCTGCCCAGGGACGTGATGGAGTCACCATCCCTGGAGGTGTTCAAAAATGTGTACATGTGGCACTTCAGGACATGGTTTAGTGGGCATGGTGGCACTGGGTTGACGGTTGGACTTGATGATCCTGGAGGTCTTTTCCAACATTAATGATTCTGTGACTCTATGCAGTGAAGGGGAGGGAGGCATCACCTTGACAGCTCCCTGGAGCTGCCCTGTGTACGCCAGTGTCAGCCCCAGCCTCAGCCTGCTCCATCTGTGTTGGGAAGGGCTGGAGGAGCCTGCAGGCAGATACTGGAGTGCAGCCTGATCTCAGTCCCTCAGCCCTAGCCAAGTAACATTCTCAGGGCACACGAACCTCGAGCAGTCTCAAAGCTGGAGCTCTGCCCTGGGCAGGAGCAGTCCCAGGACCTCTCTGGCACACAGCTCTCGGGTCAGGAGGCTACAGGGGTGGTGAAGAGGAAAAGCAAGATCCTGAACATGCATCTCTGTCTTACTTAAATGCTTGGTGCTTAAGTCTTTTCCTCTCCCCACCCTGCCTTTTCCTGCCACTTTGCTTTCTCCTCTGGCATCTTTCCTGCTCCTCTGAAAATCTCCCAGGAGAGCTCGCACTGCCACAGTCACTCAGCCAGCATTCAAACACAAGCAGGGAACAGATGAAAGGCTTGAGCATCAGGGGCCAAGCAAAGCCATCGAGTTGTGCTTTTCTACTTGGGATTCCTTTGCCTTTGCCTTCCTGAAAGAGACTCAGGGGTCTCTTTGGAAACCTGCTTTGCTGCTCTTTGCTTAGCTCTGGATATGCTCTGTACTAGCAAAACCAGCATACCCTGGAAAAGCTGGCACAATGTGTTTATTGACCTGTTTCTAAAACAGTCCTGAAAATACTGGGAAGGTTGAAGACCAGCAACAACCCAGAGACAACCAAACTGCACACTGAGTGGTACCACAACCAAAATTTTGAAATTCCTGTGGCTCAGAGACCAAATCCTTGGTCCAGAGGATGCTTTTTCCAGCATGCCCCAGGGGACAGACACTGCAGGGCAGGACAGAACAACAAGGCAGGTCAGGCTGACCCCCTGTGCCCCAGCAGCTCTCCCAGCCGCACACGCCTTCCCACAGGGGAGACCGGACAGGGCAGCACAATGGCCATTTCCCTCTTTGCAAATATTATAATTGGAGTTACGGCACCACATTTTTGTGACCCACAATGAGGGTCGGATGCTCAGGGGGCCTTGGTTCCTGTTTAGTCACTAAGAGGGCAGAAAGTTTCAAAGATCCTGACATATTGTATGCTATATTTATCAGAAAATAGCCCCAAGTATCAGACAAAGGCTATAGCTTGGCTTTTGAAAAAGCCTTTCAAAATCCCAACCACCTGGCTTACCCAGATGGGAACAAAGTGATGCTGAAAATCTGGTGTTTTGCCAGAGCAAAACCATGCAGTTGATGCTACCCTCACACCATTGCACTGCAGCTTAAAACCTACATAAACCCTGTCCCTCAGACACTCTCAAGCTGGACAAGAAGATGTTTCCTACTGTGAGCAGAGAGCTGAAGGGGGAATTGAGGCCTCACTGTGTCCAGGTAGGGGTTTTATATTTTGCACAGCAAACAAGACCCACAAGTAGGGAGTAACCATATATACAAGTTGTTAGATCTCTTAACCCTCTGCAACCACTGCATCCGAGCGTCTCACAGCCTTTCAGCTAATTATCTTCACAACAGTGCTTGGCAAGGGACACGAGTAAGAAAAGTTACCCTGCATCCCCACCATTCACGATGGAGCAAGAATTGGGCAAAAGCCTCCCAGGTTTCACCTCAGCTTCCCATTGACTACATAAGCCCTTCTCTGCCTCTCAGGAGTCAGATGGTCACTATTTCCTAACAGAAATCTCTCCTCCAACATACAAGATGAAGGAAGGGAAGGAAAGCACAACAGAGAAAGGTTTTCCCTGGAGCTGCAAAGCAGAGGAGAGGCAGGACCACGACACAAGACCCAGACATGTCCATCTCTGAGATGTCCATCCCAGAGCCTGCAGCACACAGGTTATTTTCAGGCACATTTTTCTCACTCTCTGATCAGATTTGGAATCAACAAAACATCTCCTCCTATTTCAACAGCAACCCAGCAGACACTGCCAGAAGCAATATATAATCACTACTGCAATTCTTATTGATATGTCATCAGAAAACTGCATTTCTTAAGAAGTCCTACAACAACCGTTGGAACTAGGGAATGGACACTCTGATCCTACAGAAGTCATTTTGACCACTGGCACTCGGACAAAGACCTTGTTTAAAATATAGCAAAACCAGATTTCATGATCCAAGGAGTAGCTAAAAAATAACATAACCCTTAATCTTAAAATTCCTATTAGGAACTCAGCTGAAAAATAAATTAACAATTATTTTCAGATACTTATTTTAAACATATTGATGATATATTAATATAAGCTCATGAGTTTAAAGCACTTCTCCTAAGTTCGCTGAGAGTTCAGACAAAATCAAAACAGGCAGAGCCGCACGTCATCTCTTCTTTGTGCCACTGAACTGGAGCCCAAAGCAGCCGGGCCCCTTTTTCCCTCTTCTCGATCACTGTGACTCACAGCGTGCTCCAGAAAGAGATAATATTATTCCTAGAGGGAGACTGTATCTTCAGCGTCTGCTGAAAAGTCCCCTACCTAAATAAAAGAAACTTGAGCAACTAATATTTATTCATAATATGGAGCTTCTTGCGTGCACACTGATAACACACACACACACACACACACACTCACTTCCACTGGAACAAAAAGTTTAAGCAAAATTCAGGCAAAATACACCACAAAAAGAGCAATACCTCTGCAGGAGTGGTCCATCTTGTTGTATTTGAAGTACCCACTTTTGCACTGGCAGAGTGCAACCCCATCAAAGTCGGTGCATTCAGAAGTTTCCTTGTCGCATTCAGGGTCTTTCTGCTTGCACAAGCTGCCAACTGTTGGGAAGAGGCAGCCAACGTCAGTTGCTTTCATATTTTATTATTTTAAATTAAATAATACTTGTTCCATTAGCAGACAGTCAATATCAAACTCTGTCACTGTTTCTTGCGTATCTACTGTGGTTTGTACAGGTAAATAGAGGGGGCGAATAATATATGCTTCAGCTCGGGGGCAAAAAGGGAAATGAAAAAGAAAAATTTGGCTTGGTTCATGCTAAAACACGTTCACCCCGAGACAGTACAACAAATCAATTTTTAAGTTTATATCAAGCAAAACATTTTGCTCAGCCCAAAACAACTTTTTTCCATTTCAGTATTAAGCACTGGATTTTTTCAGACAAAGAACTTGTCCTTTCATTTACATTACTTTGAAGCAGTGTTTTACTTTAGAAAGTCAGATCTGTTACAATGAGCATTGAGCAAAACCGTGGGTAAATGATGGAAATTGTGTCACTGAATTTACATTTTTTTACTGGGAGGTCAGACTAAATGGAATGAAGAAATGAAAAAAATATTAATGAGAAATGGGATTTTATGGAAAACGTGTCACTCATTTGGCACTCACCTTTTATAAACCTCCCCCTGCTGGATCCATCGTCTTTTATTTTAAGTACTTACATAAGAACACAATTTGTTTCTTTTTCTGCTCATTTCAAGTTAGAAAAAGACTTTACCAGAGTCACTGTACCACAGGTAACAGCTAGATACAGTCTGAGCAGGTCTACCAAAATAATTTAATTTAATCCATGGTGGAGTGTGGCTTTAAAATATGGCACGTTAAAATAAAAGCCCATGCTAAACTTCTCAACTTTTGTTGAGAAAAAGTTGTGTTTACTTTGCTAAAATGACCCAAAGGGTTTACCACTAGACCCAGACTAAATGCTGCTGTCTTGCATCGTCATAGACAAACTCTGAAACCTTGAACCCAAACTTCCTTGCAGGAGCCCATCTTTCAAGGGTGCTCACTCCCTGCACCCAGCTGGTACCTCTCATGGTTCCATCTCCTTTACTGCTCCCCTAGAAAGCGAGGGCTGGGAGATGCAAGGCACAGGGCCACCAACACTGACCAAGTCCACCTGGAGAAGGTCCTGCACAACACTGAGGTGCTTCTCCAGGTCCCTGTGCTGCACTCACGTTCCCCTTTGGCAGGCAGAGGATTCAGTACAGAAATCAAAAGCTCTTAATTGCAAACTATCTTTACACTCCTGTGTAGCCTCCAGCAGCTCTAATTGACCTGACTGGGGGCTTGTCTCTTGGCTTTCAAGCTATTTCCCCTGCTCCCAGCTGCGTGGGTGGAATAAAACTTAAGGTTTTTTGATCTGGCCAGAGCCCAGTGTCACATCCCAGAGATGAAAGGCTGCCCTACAATGCCTCTAATCCTGTGTTGTGCCATGTTTTCACAGAGAGGCAGAATTCTCACACTTGTGGCAAAGATAAGGCTCGAGATCTGCATCCCTTTTGTACTGCGGGGCTCTTAAGATGAATCCCATTTAAAGAAGATAAAAAAGATTCAGAAGGATTTTTCCAAACACCAAAATCTGTCTCCTCCTGTTATAAAAGAGGCCAAATAAAACATTCCTTTCATCCCTTCCCATTACAGTCCCTCCAGATGTTATTTACCTCTGTGGAGTGGTTTCAAGCTGGAGATGAACTGGCAGGTGTCAGTGGGGGATTTGCAAGCTCGAATGTAGCTTTTCACACTGCTGACAATGTCGTAGAAAGTCACATTGGATGCTAAAGAGAACGTGGATTGCACTGAAACATGCACAAAATTTGCCTCCCTAACAGAAAACAAAATAAAACAGCCCTGAGTACCACTGGTCAGTCTGATGTCATAGTTAGCACCTTATTATATATAGGACTCTTACTAACACAAGCAATGCTTCACACAGACACAATATTGCATGCATACTGGAACAGCCATGAATCATAACAGACCTTAAAAACAAGACAAACTTACACGCAGAGAGGTAAATCTGGGGCTGGGCAGCCCCAAATAGCTCACTTTGAGACCAGCCACAAAACCCTCCTGAGCAGCTTGCAAACCTGACCCCAGGCTGCTCAGGCCAGGAGGAGGGGACTGGGTGAGCTGGGCAAGGTGGTCAGGCACCTCCCATGCCCTGCGTTACCAACAGGCTGGACTGCACCATGCCCAGCACCGACTCAAAGTAGGGACTGTGAATCTCAAGTCGAACACCCCAAATTTTCAAGTTTCTCACTCCTCCCTTGGTAGCTTTAGCCTTACCTGGTTGCCTTAACTGCTGAGCGGTGGTACCCTGGCAAGCCTGACAGCGATGCATCGAGCTGCAAGGAAGGAGAGAGCAGCTGTTAGTGTCCCGAGGGATGATGGAGGAAGGCAGCCCAGTGGGATGCAGCACGGGATGGCCCTCCTGGGTCATCAGCACCATCCCCTGCAGTCACCAGAGCTGCCTGCTGAGGCCAAGGGGGCTCTGAGCACCCCATCTGCTCAGTAAGAAAGATATGCTGTCCTATTGCCAGCAAGGGATGGCTGCAGTCACCATCACACAGCCTTGGGGGTTTTGACAAGAGCATCTGTCTCACTCCCAAGGCAGAGGACGAGACAGAAACCAAAGGAGAGGGAGCTCCATGTGAGCCTGAACAAAAAGTGGCACCCTTGGAGACTCTGCATCTTCTAAGGAGCCTCCCTCTATCCGGATCCATGCAGTTGTTTGTGCTCACTCCCCGGCCCAAGCCATGCTGGCAGCATTGGGGATAACTCATTCCAACTCTCCATCCTTTGGTGACATGTCCAACCCACCTACTCCAGAAAGAGTTGGGATGAACTGCAGCCAGCCCAGGAGCTGGTAACAGGACAAACTCATGCATGCAATGACCTGGCTAAATAACGCACAGGGATGTACCTATCCCCATCCCAGGGGACTTTTGGAAGAAACTGAAGGCACAGCATATGGGGAAGCCACCAGCTGGCCCAAGGCTTGCTCTGAACTGACCGAAGACCATGTGGTTGCAATAGCATGGCTGGGAAACCCCACCAAGAAGAAGGTATGTTTGGTTGGGCACTGCTGCTGTGCTTCATCCCACAAGGTTTGACTAAGAGCAAGGTGACACCAGCTGCAGCCCAACTCACCCTGGCCCCTGTGAGATTTATTGATGAATGATGAAAGCCAGAGTTACTGTTCTAATGTCTGAGCGTGGAGGAGCACTAATGCCCTTTCAAAGCCAGGAAAAAGCAATGCAGCCAGAAGACACTAGGAAACCATGGAGGCTACAGAATTGTGACTCCAGCCCCACTACTTCACAGAAAGGGCTGCAAGATTTTCTGGGCAGATGTGCTCTCTTTAGGAGCAGATCTCTCCACTGCTGATTTGACAGCCTGGGCAGGGCAGGGGAGAGAAGAGTGCTGGGATTTAAAAGCATACATCTTACCAGTCCTACCTGCACCAGACTGGGATGGTTCAATGACTATAAAGGCTAAATCCACACTACAGAGGCTCATGGCTTCCCATGAAAAGAGGAGCAAAGGGGACCTGTCCCATCAGCATCACCACTGTCCCAGCAGCGACACTCACCATCGCCAGGATTTCACCCTCGATGTGGAGAAGCTCTGTGTACTTTCCATGGGTAATATTAAGTTTCAGGGGGACCTGGCCGATAAATATTCTTACTGAAAAGGAGAGTAAGACAAGTCAGTTTGAACATTTGTCTCCATGCTACGTGTAGCTGCAGCCTCATCCTCCTTATACAAGAGACTGTCTGCATGGAAAACCCCTTCAGGCAGTGGACAGAAAACTCAATTCTGAGAGTCACTGTCCCAGCAAAGCAAAGACCTGGCCTTGGGACTTTTTTCCCAAGCGTTGCTGCAACGTTCCCACAGCCCCAGTCAAATTCCAGAGCTTGATGCTACTGAACAGTCAGCATTTCCCCATAGCATTCATATATTTCTTACAGAAACACAGACTAATTTAAAAGGATCCCTGAACACAGAGAGAGTAAATTTAGTAACAAGACAGTTTCAGGTACCAAAGCTATTTTTAATACTTTGGGGTAAAGGTGTCAAATCTCTTACCACTCTCTGCAATGGAAGGAAAGCAAGTCAAAATAAAGCACTGCAGAAAGGACATTTTCATTTTTCAAACTGTTGGACAGAATGAGCAATGACATTTGAAAAGAGGTCCAAAAGATGCATTTTTCCATGCTTAGAATCATTTTTGATTCATAGCAACAGAATGCAATAATCTGAGTTGTCCAGATTCAGAGAGATAATATCCCTAAATCTTGTATTAAGTGTCATGAGATACTCGGTGGAAATGAGAACACAGAGCTCCAGTTTTATGTTCCACCAGAAAAACAAATACGGTTGCAGATAACATTATAAAGCCTCCAATTCTTTTTTCCCATTTTTTCCCCATCCACAAAGCCTATCTCCACCATAGATTTTATATCAGATAGCTCTAATGTAACAACTCTGGGTAAAAATAAGATGAGAATCACCTTCACAGTATTTACATAATCTGCCCATATCCCAGTTCAAGACATAATCAAAACAACTCTCTAAATTAGAAGCTGACACATTCCAACTCAAAGAAATGTTTCAAAACACCCTTCAGGGACACCTCACTCATGTTTCCCTAGCAAAATTTCCATGCCTCTAATCCTCACTGATTCAGGGTCAGAAGAAACTCGAGCAAAACAAATTCCCCTTTACAATGGGACATTGTGAGACCTTAAGACTGAGAGTCCTCTCATAGAAAGGAGGGGGTCAGAACCTGAGCCCCAGCTAATAACTGTGCTGCATGAAAAATGCTAAAGGTACAAAACAAGATCTTGATCTTACAAAGATTTTCATGGCTGCTTAATTTTCCACACATGGCCAAACTTACTGCAGCCAGGTTACACAATAGCCCCACTCACTTCACCCATGCCAACCACCATCGTGAGGCTCTGCAGGGCTGGGAGCTGCTGCATGCCTTCTGGGGGGCTGCACAACATTTTAGGAACAGAAAGGACACATCTATCCTTACTAACAAGCCAGATCCCACTGCTCTGTTGCTGTGTTTTTAAGAAACCCCCAGATATCACTGTGCCTGCTCCCCAGGGCACCCCAACACGACAGGCATTAGGCCTTGCACTTGTATAAACACCAAGAGGCTCTTGTTAAAAGTTGTGGCTGGGAGGAACATTAAGCTCCTGAACTAGTCTTAGCCTAGGTTAATTTAGTTTAGAAGATTACAGATAATAATTTCCATCTTTTTCTCCCCCAGTTTTGCACTTTTGTTTTCTTACCTAGATTGCACTTTCCTTTTTCCAGCTCATATCCGAGAGGACACTGACAGGTATAGGAGCCACGGGTGCTGTTGCAGGTGGCCAGTGCCGGACAAGGGTTGGAAAGGCATTTATCCACATCTACAAAACCAGAAAATTACCAACCAGGCTATAGTTACAGAATCACAGAAATCATCAACTGTTGGGCTAAAAAAGATCAACCTGACTCCTCTTCTGTGACCCCCTGAGCATTATCACATGTTTCATTGCATCATTTGCACTTACTGTTTATCCTGTTCTTAATTATTCTGTTGGAGCTGAAAGAATAAATACAAATCACTTGCTCTTGAATATTCATTCAAAAACCCTTGGGATCCAATGCTGATCTACACTCATATGAACACCCAGTGTGTCTACAGCACTGCTCACCTGCAGATCTCAGGGTGTTTTTCAAAGACAAACAACCCTACAGTTACAGATGAAAAGACCAAAGAAGGGGCCTCAGCAGCCAGAGGTAGACATAGGAGCACGAGCTCCTTCACCAAAGTCCTTCCCTTTCCATCCAAGCCCTGTTTCCATGATCCAAAGCCCGTGCTTGGACACCAATGCAGTCTGTAGATTACCCAGTGATGGTGTAGGCAGCCCTGGTTGCTCTCACCTCCTTTACTGAGGCTGCAGCCTCCCCCATGCCAGACTGGGGATGCCCACAGCAGTGATACCTGCCCGTGCCACCACTTGTAATGCACGTCCCGCTGGGAAGTGCGGCTGCCTCACCATCAGCAAGAAGGAGATTTGGTGTCTCTGATCTAAGCAGCCAGAAATGAGTGGGCATATTTTAAAAAGTTGGCTTTCACTTTACCATCCTTCAGTTTGTACAGTGAGGACCAGAGCAGCTTTTTCTCTTGCAGCGGTGAGTGCCCACATACAAAGCATCATGTCCAGGCATATTTTGGCAAAACTTGATATTTAAAGGAAAGAGTAACTTGGCAAAAGTGTGAATCAGTTGGCAAAAAAAGGATGTGTTACATTAGGTTTTGATTTAGAA